TTTTTTTGTTGATAAAAACAAGATTTTTAATTACAGCAGATGTGATTCCACACCAAGAAAAACTTGCAATTGATACCGCACTTCCAAAGAATGAGAATTTATTCAAAAGAAAAAGATTTTATTTTTATTAGTCGATGTCAAATAAATATATTTTTCTCTTTTCTTTTTCTGTTCACTGATATGCATGCAATGCATTTTCCCCACCCCCCCTCGTAAATCAAGCAGAAAACGAAATCAGTTTGCCACACCCTTGAGTTTGATTGACGGCCTAAAGGAAAAAATAAAACATTCCTCCCTTCCCTGCCTTCAAGGTCACGGAGGAAATGACGTTTCTCTGGGTAAACGGGGAAAAATTTTTTCCCCTTCCTTACATTTTCCTCTACTTAACTTCAAGGATGAGTCCAATTTGCGCTTTTTTCGTTCTTGTTTAAAATGGCGGGAAAATTGAGCAAAATTTTTCCCGGTTTTCTGGTTTCCCGGTTATCTGGATACCGGATAAATGGTTCTCTACTGTATTACATTAAAATATCTTTTTTATCTTTTTTTATTAATATTAGACAAAATTAATTTTATTATTTCAACAATATATTAAAATAAATTATTGTCTTGAAAAATTTAAACTTAATTATTTAATCATAAATTGTTTAATTCCGAAAATACACAAAATTATTATATCACCATTAATTTTTGCTCTACTTTTTTGACAAAAAAAAAAAATAAAAATAAAAAAATAAAAAGACATGCAATGAAAAAAGAAAAACATAACAATCAGATATATTGTTTGAATGATCTTTTCTCCCCATTCTTTTAAAAAGTGACTTTAGTTTTAGTTGTTGTTTGTGGTAAAAAACTCCTTCCATCAAAACCTAAAAAATTTTATTTATATCTTAGTATAAATATTATTATTTATGTTTCATACAACACATTGCATGTAGTTTTTAAGGTAAAACATTAAATGTTACCTTTTTTATGCACAAAAGATAATTTTTATAAAAAAAACTCCTTTATTATAATACATTACATAATATTCTTTAAATGTAAACAATTGTATAAATATTCTTTAAATGTAAACTATTATGTAATAAAAATCTATTGGTAGATTCTAATTATTTGAGAATCAAAAATATTGTAGTTATTAATGACAGCATTACTTTGCTTAAAAAAAAGTTTATTTACTCCAAGTGCAGATTACCCAGACACCATTTTCTGATTTATTCTAATGAGGGTATGTTTATTTTAAACTATTCTTGTTTCTTTAGATATTATTTAAAGTCCAAAAGAAGGTCCCTGAAATTTTGTATTTTAATGAATATGTGCTATGCATGTGATGTCAAATAAGAATTGATATAACTAGCATTTATGATATTTGGATTTTTGTCTCTACAATTAAATTATGCTTAGAGTCTGCAAAATCTAATGAGTGTCACTGTTATTTTTTCAACCATTAGGATCTGGCCAGGCAAGTCATCGCCCTATCAGACAGTATGTATCGCCACCAAACATGGTTGCATTAAGAGGAAAACCATTAGAAATTAGTTGTATATTTGGAGGAACGTAAGTATTTAAACTATTCTTAGTTTGTAATAATAATTATTATTCATCATTAATAATTATGATTTAAAATTTCATTTATTTTTGACCTCATTAGTCCATTGCCTGAAATTAAGTGGACAAAGCGAGGCAGTGAATTATACTCATATAAATATGTGTATAAGAACTATGGCAAGACTCTGACTATTCGGAGTATTGACTTCAGTGATGAAGGAACCTACGAATGTTCTGGTAGTAATGGGGTTGGAACACCAATCACTCACGCTGTTTCTGTTACAGTTAATGGTATGTATAAATTTCTAGCCACTTAAACATAGTTTCTTCTAACAATGATAATATTTGATGTGCAAAATTGTTATATCTTTAGCACTTTTCATAACTTATCCAGTAGTTTGTTAGTAGTTTGAGCTAATTGGTTTGATTTTATAACTAACACATCGGCTGATAAGTTCCCGGTCTAATGGAGTAAACACAAATTTTTCAGTAAAATTCAAATTTATTCATCAACGTAGTCTCCGTTAAGAGATATACAAATATACAATCACTCCATCACCTCTCTAACATTTCTATACCTTTCTTAAAAAAAAGAACCATCTTTGGCCTCAAAATAGGCGTTTGTTTTGGCTATCCCTTCCTCATTCGTGCTGAATCTCTTACCCGTGAGCATTTTTTTCAAGTCTGCAAACAAGTAGAAGTCACTAGGAGCCAAATCTGGTGAATAGGGTGGGTGCAAAAAGTTCTTTTTATTTCGCCGAAACAACGTCAAACAGCTCTTGGAATCATCAATTTGTTGTTGTTTTTGGTCAACTGTTAGCACACGGGGCACCCACTTCGAAAACAACTTTCTCATAAACAAATGTTCATGCAAAATAAAGCCTACACGCTCTTTTGATATATTTAGAGCATCAGCTATGTCATGCAACTTCACTTTGCGGTGTCCTATAACAATTTTGTGGATTTTTATTATGTTTTCCGGATTAACCACATCTTCAGGGTGTCCAGAGCGTGGCGCATCTTCAACATTTGTACGGCCACATTTAAAATGAGCAAACCAGTCAATAATAGTCGGTTTTCCTGGTGAAGATCCCGGATAACACTGATCAAGCCAAGCTTTAGTTTCTACCGTGTTTTTTCCCATTAAATAACAATGTTTAATAAGAACATGAAATTCTTTTTTATCCATTGTTTCAATATTATAAATTGGAGTTCGATTAAAATCACTGTAACTTTAAAATCAATCAGCAGATCGTTATAAAATTTTGACACCTTTTATTTGAAGGTTAGGACTTGCTAAACAAAATACTAATTCTGCATTTAGAGGGCCATCTGTATGTCAGACCGGAAACTTATCAGCCGAAGCGTTATAACATCTGTTCCTGAAATGTAAGACCAAGATAGATACCGAAGATGTCTTTGGTTTTTACATCATGTCTATTATCACTCTTTAAAATTAACTTAAGTGTTTAAAAAGACATTTTTTTTTTCAAAGTAATAACATATCTATTAGACATTTCAGCTTGGAACTTGGCTAAGAATGATGATTACACAATCTTGTTTAATCGTTTTAATCAGTTGTGAAAACATGTTTTAGTTAAAAATTTCTCTAAAGTAGCAAAAATGCTGGATAAGCAATTAACAAACTTGATACAATAATTGTCTATTATAGAGTTTTTTTTTTTTTTTTTTTTTTTTTT